AGGTCATATCGTTTAAACTAAGATCTGATCTACAGCAACAAACAACCTAATTAAACGAACTGGTGACGTAACTAGGGTTTGTGGTGCTGAAGGTTACCATGATATCGGATAAGCGCTTTAGAATGCGCAGTAACAGATATCACGTCTGGTCGATATCGATTTGGAGAAGACTAAGAGGAGGGGGGTGAATAGGCTAACGGATCGGCGAATTCTGAGAATTACTTTGCCGGGATTTCGGATTTAGAGCAAAATTTTAACGGATTTGCGGATTCTGAAATTGCAACGGTTCGCGGTTTCGTCGATTTTTTAGGTTCGAATTTTGGATTTTGCTTGTGAGGAAGTTCGAATCGTGCATCTGAACGATCGTCAGAAATGCGTTGTTTTCTGAGTATGTGTATTTTTATGTCACGGACGAGACTCTCTGCATTTCACGCATCAGGGAAATAGTAACGCACTGGGACGTCTGCTGTGTGCGCCCCCTTATCCATGACACTGTACCCCACCGATTGCGATTCGCTCGATGGGAAGGCCATTGCCTAGCTAACACACAACAGCTCAAGGTGCGTTTTCCACCTTTTTACGAGACAAGTAGCGAACGGATTCGGATTTAACAATATTTTTTAACGGATTGACGGATTTGGTTATCTAATCGTAGCGGATCGGCGGATTTGCATACCCCTATTCACCCCCCTCTGAGAGAGATGAAAGAGCCGAAGCACTACTGACGATAACTTTTATATGTAATTGTAAAAGGAAACAAACAAAATAATATGACGGGACATGATTAAAAGTCGACCGTTAGGTACAAATACACACAAAGCATTGCAATACTACGTTTTGATTTTTAGTTTTACAACCGTTTTTGCCCCATACAATCTTACCAAAATCTAATCAACGTCACTTTTACATCTAATGGGAAAAATAAAAATCCTGAGAGGAATATTTTAAAGGACCACTGTCTTCTAAGAGACAAAATCGCTGCTTTAAGATAACTAGGTTTTATCAACCGAGTTGATGATGTGAATGGGCCACCTTTAAAAGAGTCGGAAGCTGACGTTTCGGGCGTTAGCCTTTCGTCGGTGCGAATCAATACTGTGACAGCTAAAAAGATCAATTTTTTTTTATAGGAGGCACTAGTATAGTGCCTCCTATAGGAGGCACTATACTAGTGCCTTCTATAGGAGGCGAACGTAGAAGACGCTATATTTGCAGTCGTTCTCTTTCCGATGAATTAAAGAATTCGAACTTCGGAACGCGCCCTTTGGAGGGCAATGGGCGCCCAAAATATTACGATAAAACATGCGCTTGAATTTTGAATGAATAACACTACTAATGAAATTTTCTCAGCAAACTGACCTTTTTGTTACAGAAAGTACGTAAGCTAGTGAAATTTGCCCTGACAATGTTAGCAGCGGCTTCTCGTAATCGTTGCGTGACAACCCAAAGAATAGCTGCTATAAAACCGAGATGAGCACGATTCGGCGGCCACTTGGGAGGCGAGGATTGTTGGCCGTGCGGGAGACTTCTGGGCGCCGAATGTGCCAGGCTTCAAGAGACTTATGTTTCAAGATAAATCATGGCTTCAAGTGCGCGAAGGATCAGGGAAAGGTTTTCCTATAGGTATATGAAAGGGCCTAAGATTGAAGTATTTCGAACTGGGGTCTTCTTGTCTTAACAGTTTATCAATCAGACACGTCAGGTGGGTTAGATTCTTTATATCCGCGTGCTCAGTAGACACCAATCAAAACTGGTCACGCTTTCTTATCTTTTGAGGCGGGAATTGTTGTAATTAGGAGTACTATTCACTTACTAAATATACATATCATGATAGCAAAAATAAGTTTTCAGTCCGCAACATTCCAGTACAAATTACGAAGCATGAATACCATCATCTCCTCTAACTACAAGGAGGTTCAACTTTGCCATCTGTGTGGACGACTCATTTGTCGGACGTAGCTTGGCTACATTAGAGGGACCACTGACATTTTTAATTGTAAAAATTATGGTGATCAGCTGGGAAGAAGGCTAATAGCACTATTTCGTCTTTCTGTAATCGCGATGTCCTATACCTTATAACATAATCTATGTTCATTTGACAACCATCGAGCTGAATTTGGGCTAAGCGATTTTCTTGTGCATTGCCCCAAATAAGTAATTATAACTTTTCTCTCTTAGTGCAGGAAGAAAAAATTCAAAGCGGTTATCAGCCTACACATTGCAATTAAGTATGTAATAGAGCATAAGGCATGTTTCAGAACTTCAAAAGACTACTTCACAGAGACAAATCCCGATGCAGAAGTTTACCGAAGATAGAAGAGCGAATTTTTCGTTTCAGAACATTTAAGGAGAAACGATCACTAATCTAGCTGGCAAACGTGAGCATGCAACGAAATGGAGATGCAGATGTCCAATTGCAGTCTTGAATCCTTGATGCATTCAAACAGGTAAAATGATACGCGTACAAACTTAAAGTTACTCTGCAGCTTGATATTTCGTTGTATTTTTTACTTTTCGCCCAAATTTTCTCGTGACTGTACCGAGCATTTTTAAAATTTACCTTGTACGATAAAAGTGGGTCAAAGGCCAAGGAAATGTAAAGCTTGTTGTAAAGTTGTATAAACTTCTGTCACGGTTTGTTGATATTGAAATTGCTAACGTTATAAAAACGTGCTTTTCAACATAGAATGCTGTTCCCATTCATCTGAGACACGTAAAAGCCTGAAACGAATACCCTCCTTGTACCAAAATAGAAACGACAGACGGGAGTTAGTTTCTTTATGATTTATAGAGATCTCTTGAATAATTCCCGACTTCAACGTGAACAAACAAAAGCGACTTTTCCATAATAGTTCAAGACTTCGAAATGTCACGACTTTCTACTTGTTTGATTTCTGTTCTGTTCCTACTGGTAATTCTCGCAGGACAAATTTCGGGACTTAAATGGCGACGGTCACCACAAATTTACCCATCGGATCCAGCTGATAGTTTTCATCAGGGTAAGTTTATCTCTTAAGATGATTTTATTAGCATGTAGTCCATTAGGACTGAAGAAATGTTGTTTTTTGCAGCAAGAAAAGCAGAAATTTACAGAAAGTAATGTATAGTTTATATCGGTTCCGTGGCAGATATTATTACCTTAACGTCTTTGAAAACTGAAATTAATAGGAAGCAAAAACTCAAATTCCAGACTTAATATCTTGCATCAATTACATGTTAAGAACGGCTTTTTAATTTGGAATGGCTAGGCCATTCTTCCCGCCTGGCTGAGCTTGGACTTTTGACTCTGGAGTACTAGTGGCTTTAGAATGGCTTTGATTCAGTTATAGAACCGATAATGTACTCGATAATTGCTGAGAGAAGCATGTTAAAGGGAGCAATAATTTTTTTAGAAATGTAGGTTGGAAAATTACTTTAGGCGAAGTAATGCATAGAGGAAAGAGAAAATAATTATATGTACGGAAGACGTGTTTATGTTAGAGGGCTTCTCTAGAGATGTGTTCTCTGTACATGTCAACACCAGTTATTTAGTTTAATATTTCCAAGCTGAATTCTTGTTTAACCTCAATTACAGCTTTTCAAGCTGTCCCTTCGACCAGTGTGACTGCCGCTAAACTCATGGCGAGTTTCTTAGGCATTGGCGTGAACTCGATCATTGCTAAAAGAAGCCAAATTGATGAGGATGCTGTTTTCGTTATTTCCGGCTCAGGATCAATCGGCGAGTGTGAATTTGAAAAAGGGAGAAAAGCACTCGTAAGATGAAAAATGAGGAAATTGAAAAATGCCATGTATGACACCAAATATGCAGCTGTTACGTTTTCTAACTCCTTCAAAAGTGAACTTCAAGTTCTCGTCACCCGCTACAGCGGCCAGAAAAATTATGAACATCCTCTACCCCGGTGGAGGGTCCAACACTCAGGCTGGGCGGACAAGCAGAAGTCAAGAAGCTGCTGGTTGATGATCCTTCGTCAGGTACAAAGTTAGTTAGCAGTCGGTAGGCGATTAGTGCAATGTACGACATGTATCTCAGTTCCCTACCCTTCGCTTTTGTGGAGACTCTAAAAAGCGCTTCGGCGAATGGGTTCATCGATTAATGAACGGTATTTTTATTATAGTCATTGCTTCCTCTCTCATAAACTGAACTCTTACAATCAGACGAAAAAAATTCAATCATCCCGTAGACAAAGTGTGGACCGACCTTTTCACCTTTAAGGTTTTCTCTGAATCAACAAAGAAAGTATGGTGGAAACGATGTTCTTCGTGCTTGTTCTTGATCAGCGTTGCCAAAGTAATCAAGACAATTCAAACATAAGAAATTCCGTGAACGTTTTAAAACTGGACTTTATGAGCGCATGTCTGGCACATGAATATTTTACGTGAATGAAGCTTGCCGAAATAGCTCATATACGAAATTACTCGACGAAACGGTTGTCATATATCCCTGCTACATTGTAGAAGTTTACCCTTCTTTCATTTCCAAAACAAACTCTACGATTTCTGATCACTACAAGCTTCTGAAACTCATATACAGTTTTCGTCACCGCATTCGCTCCGATCTCTAACGATTTGATTGTTAACATTGTATCCTCATGAAAATATAGAGCATCATGTTCCTACTGAAAACTATAAGAAAATTCTTGCACGTGATTCGCTATCACTAAGCCCGATTTGAACGCTAATGGAACGATGTGAGTGTCATGCCTGTGATTGGACAGTGTGCACTTCATGATTGTGTAGCTAGAAAGTACGCGTCGTGTGCGCGCGCCGTCATCACTAATCTCGCCGAGTTGACCGTTGTTCTTTATAACACGTATAACCAATAGATTGTTTGGGTTTCTAGAATATTGCCAAAGCTTTTGTTAATTAGTAACAAGACTTCGTGACGTCCAATTCTGCCTATAATCATACTCGTAATTATCAAAGCAGACTCCAGCCTCGTGGTCGTCCGATATTGTTAATCACTCGTATGATTACGGACCGGCTTGACTCCACTCGGCCCTATTAAGATTACTAACTCTCAAAATTCTTCCATTACTCTTAGGTTATCGTCTCGGTTCTTTGAAGTCAGTTCTGCTCATCACCGATGGTCAGTCAAACATACAAAGGGACTTGACCATATTCATAGTTAAGGAACTCAAGAATAGAGGTGTAGCGATTTTCGTGGTTGCTGCGGGATTTTACATTAACGGAATAGACGAAATGGTCAAGTTATCCACCAACCAAAATACGTACTTGTTGAGGGTGGAAACAGTGCGTCAATTTTATGAAGTCACCAGGGTTATTTCACAGAAGGCCTTTCCTGACCAATAGAAAACTACTCTCGGTAAATATAATCCTCCGTGCAGCCAAGGAAAGTAAGGCGGAGTTTAGAGGCCAACCTTCCCTGAAAGTTACCTAAGCGTTGGTGTTTTTTTCTTTTAATTTTTAATTTATTTGTTTAATCCGAATGCGGCCAAAGCACTTTGCATGATGAGCTCCAAACAATTCTAACATGGTAAAATTTTATTTTACCTTTAAAGTAGGTTGGAGGAAACACTTTTTTAGCTTATTCGTAAATGTTAGGGTCCGCTGCTGTACGAGTTAAAATGTGTATCACTGCTAAATAGATTAACCTACAATAAATTTTGACGCAAACGTTACTAAGTTATATGTAAACATTATATTCAATAACACAGAACTACCTCGCTGTAGAAGTAAAACGGAAATAAAAATGGCCACCCATCCTTTCAGAGGCTCTGTGTCTTTCAATAAGCACGCTAGAAACACAAACTTCTTCCATTCTCAGTGTCATCCCTCGTTTTTTCCTTTTTTAAATGTCCTCTTTAACCCCAGACTAGGAATTTATTGCAGCACCTAGGGTCACTTTGCGGGAAAAGTATAATGTTTGTTTTTCTTATCTGATAATCTATTGAACCGTAGGCGTAGGGCTAGCCTCGTGCTTGTCTAGCCCCTCTTGCCGGCCTCCGCTCGCCCGAAAAACGTGACCTAACTTGCGTCAGATCTGTTACGAATCCATTCTTCTTTTGCACTGAGCATTAGCAATTGACCGGATTGTTCAAAGTTCTGCCTTTTTTTGGGCTCAAGACATGGTCTATGAATTCCACCTTTGGCGCGTAATCAGAGTAGACCTAACTCAGTCAGGATCTCCAGGTGTGAAACTTATGACTCAAATTGCGTCTGATCGTCTTTGCGTTCACACTAATTAAAGGCGATGAAAAAGGTTTCGACACACCGTGATTCTTTTTTATTGTTCTGTTTTCTCTTTTTATTAATAGTCACCGCAGTCATGCAAAAAAAAATTGCTTGGCTTGTCACGGATGGTCTGTTACACACAACAGAGAACAACTCATGCCAGAGCACTCAAAGATAGCGAGGTGGAGATTTTCGTGATCGACCTAAGACATAACACCAATTTTTCTGAGATAATTCCTTAGTAGTGTTACCAATTTAAAATTCAAACATATGTTTTGGCCGAAATATTTTGGGCGCCGCTTGCCCTCTAAAGGGCGCGTTCCGTTGTTCGTATTCATCCATTGGGCTTTATCAGAAATAGAACGACTACAGAGATTGCGTCTTCTCAGCCTCCGAATCATAAAATGCTCCACTGAGATGTAACAAGTCAGGTTTCATCTTAAGTCATTCGAGTTATTTGGATTCCCTCATTCATATCTCCTTGACGTGTCGGCATTCTCCGAAACCTTTTTCGCAGAAGCATGAGAAACGTCATTCAGATGTTCGTATCTGGAATAATAACGGTCAAGCTGATTGTCAAGACAACCTTCAGTACAACTGACAGGGAATTTCCCTGGTTACATGAACAGTTCGTTTCATTTGGTTGTTTGTCACTAGATATAAAATCTGGCAATCATGTTATTTTTGTAGGTTTCTAAAACAAACATTATCAAAGCTTCAATGAAAACAAATTCTCGACCGGCTTTCTCTTCATTTCTTACTTAATGACCGCTACTCAAGTGAAGAGTTTTTCAGGGATGCATCGCAATCCACTGATCGAGCCGAATTCACCAGAACTGAATCATATATCAATCGCTGTTTTAGAAATGGTCGATCTAACAACTATTTTTCTACGGCCACTAATTCATACCGGAGTCATAAGATGCAAGACAGATGAAGATTTCATATCCACACGAGGAGTTGGAGACAACTAACAATTGTTCAGGACTAGGCAAACAGAAGCAGAGCTGGGAAGCTCTTCAAAAGTTTTTAATTAGATAAATCAGAATACATTCGTAGCAGGATAATGTTTCCTTGAGGATTCTAGGGTTTCATGAAAAAGTACTAGACTGTTACCAGACTGGAACCTGCCTTTCTGTCACGTCCGATCCAAAGGCGCAAACTCGATCCGTTTTTCGAAAAAGGAGATATCCTTACCCCCTGGATTTAGTTGGTTGAACATTTGAAATAGACGTTCAACGACCGTACGTGATGGAGTGTCTGAATTTAGCTTAAAATGTACAGGCAGGTTTCATAATCTGCATGAAAGGTGTGGAACTCTTCCATACTTTCTTTGTTAAGCAATGCCCTTGGTGCGTGACTAATTTTTTAGCTTCTTTTGAGGAAACCCTAACATGACTAAGATACGTGAGTCATAACGTAATCTGTTTTTTATAAAAATTGGTTGCCTCTGACTGTTGTTATTTCTGAAACGCAGGCGTTTCGGCTAATGCTTAAGCCTTCATCAGTGATATGAAAAACGAAGATCGTTATCATACGCTATTTAAAGTTAAAAACGTGACGCTAGCTTGCGCGCGTAACTATGTATTTGATGCTCGCGCGAGGTCTTAATAGGCTTCTGGAAGTACGATGGGATCGTTCCCAGCATTCGGATCCAAAGTAGAGTGCCAGGCTTCAAGGAAAAGTCTCTCGTGGTAATTAGTTTCAAAACCAACTACCCTGAAGTTTGTAAAACTCATGACTGACTACACTTTTTCCATTTTTAAACACGTAATCTGCTTGTTTTACTGTAATTAGATCAAGATATCGTTTAAACTAAGATTTGATCTCTAGAAACAAACAACCTAGTTAGACGAACTGACGCGTAACTAAGGAAATTAACCGTTAGAGTGCTGAGGGTTAGAACGCTTTACGCTCCATAGTAACACATATCACGTGTTACCCATACCGATCGGGAGAAGATCGAGGGAAACGAAAAAGACAAAGATTTCTCAACGAGGAGTTTAACATGTAAAGGTAAAAATAAAAGGAAACAGATAGTGTTTCCAGTACTCGTACATTAAAGTTAAAAAAAAATGTACATTGCAGTTAAAACACTGAGCGTTCTTCGAGGAAATACAATTTTTGACCGCAACAAGGAGCCCGCCATGACTCACAATTCTATAATTCAGCTTGGTAAACCAGAAGAAAATTACTTCCAAGATGATTGAGCATTTGCTAAATTAATTTTTGAAATGTTTCACCTAAACAGGGAAGCCAGACAGTGTCCTTTGTGTCACGTGCTATCTTTACGCACAAGCTCGACTCATTTCCTAGAAAAGAAACTAGCTAAAAACATCCTTGCTCATGCTTCCTCTATGGATTTCTTCGGTTAAATTGTTCAATTCCAGGCTCAACGACCGTACGCAAAAGAGTTTCCGAATTTAACTCTAAAAGTAATGGCGGTTTTCACAGCCTGTATGAAAAGTTTGAAATTAATTATTCCATATTTTGTTTGTTAATGCCTCGTGACTAAAAATTGTTTTGCTATATTGACCTTCAGCGACAGGGAGGCTTGTTTGGCACTTGAATTAGACATATGAGTTACTTTGTAATTTGATGGTTTCATTATAATTGGATCAAACAGTCGTTTGATTAAGATTTGATTTAGCGACAAACAACCTAACTAATTAAATGAACCGACACAAAACTTGAGAAATTATCTGTCCGTGGTGCTGAAGCTTTAAGGTTACCGTGATATCGGATGAAAGCGATCGTGAGAAACCAAGAGAAACGTAATAATATCTGCAAACGGTTAGACTTTCTAGTCTTCTCGGATAGGGACGATAAATGGAGGTCCCTTCTCACAAGCCCATATATGTGATTTAAATTTGTGGGACGTTAAAGAACCCACACACTACTCGGAAAGAGTAGGGCACGTAGTGCCCGGTGTTGTGGTCTATCTATGGGCAGTGTCTATTCAGGGTGAGTTGGGGGGAGGGGTGGTGCCTCAAATGGACCTTGAGTTCCGTTCGCACTAACCCTTCCGGGTCTTGTCACACCCGGTAAAGTCATTAAAACAAAACAAAACAAAACAAAATAAATGCAAATAAAACGAAAGAATATTACGCAGCAAAGAAGGTTTGCATTATTTGGCAGACAAACATTAACAAAATAATTTGGATATATCAACAAAGTTGAAATGGTAAATTGGCCACCGTAACGATTACAAAAGCTGACGTTTCGAGCGTTAGCCCTTCGTCGGAGCTCGAAACGTCAGCTTTTGTAATCGTTACGGTGGCCAATTTATCATTTCAACTTTGTTGATATATCCAAATTATTTTGTTAACCCCACCGACGCAGCCCCAAATAGTTTCTTTAGAAGCTATCAGCCTTTAAACATTAATAAATATCGGCCTTGGCTACAAATACACACAGCACCACATGACTACATTTTGATTTCTATCAGATTGAAAGCTGTCTTTGCCTGATATTGTCTTATTAAAATCTGATCAGCAAACTTTGACATTAATGGCAAAAAATTCTCCATCCTAAAAGAAGTTTTTTAAGGGCGTATGTCCTCTGTCAAACATAATCGCTATAGTAAGATAGTTAGGTTTGAGTTGATGATGTGGATCGGCCTCGTAAAGAGACATCATAAAACCTCTAGCTCATTTCAATGCTTCAAAAATTGTGCTGCACTAGTAGCCACATGCATTCTTGACTGTCTATTCTTATTAACTCGCTGCGATGCATGCATTAAAGAACTCATTCGTTCGCTGCGCTCACCCGTTGTTGTTGTTGTTGTTTTTTCAGGATGCATCGCAGCTAGTGAACAAAAATCGTTCGTGCGCACTTTCCATGGAATTATTTTTTAATTTCGTTACTGAATGGACTGAATTCTGGATTGCGATACAAAACCAGTAAACAATGGTACATCTAGTTCTCATACAGAAGTTGCATAGAAATTAGTATTACTGTTCGAGCATTGTTCTTCTGTGTAATATAATTTTTCAGTTACCCTCTTTCCAAGGAGTTCTCCAGGACTCACATTTCTATATTTCAGCTTGGTAAACAATATAAAAAAACTACTTTCAAGACGGATGAGCATGTGCCAAATTATTTTAGAAGACAATTGGCGCTCAAAAGATTTCACCCAAAACATACGCTTAAAATTGAAATTGAAAACAAAACTAATAAAATTTTCTCAAACAAACTGGCCCTTGTACTACAGAAAGTACACAAGTTAATGACATTTGCTCGGACAATGTTCGCCGCCGCCCCTTGTAACGGAGTGGTAACGTTGCGTGACAACCCAAAAAACTGCTGCGAAAACACTGCGATGAACCCGAAGCGAGATTGGGTAGGCGCGTGAGAGGTGCAGATAAGAAAGCTCGTTGTGTTGGCC